CGGTATCTTAGTCTTTCCCATTGCTACCATGTTGCAGATAGGGCCTGCTCTGTCTGCCTAGGTCTCATAGTAAGAATGATGGTGTGGTAGTTACATAATTTTGTGTCAACTTGAAGTGTAAGGTTGGAGTCTGGCTTATTAGTCAGGTCCCAGTTTGATGACCTCATTTGAAGGTGCCACAGAGATAAATGGCTTTCTGGGGTCAGGCAACTTTCTCTCTGCTATCATCTTCCTGCTATCAGGTTACTGGGAGAGCTGCCAGGGCCCTGTGATGCTTCCACTGCCATTGGATCCACAAGACTTTGCACCCACCACCCTATGATCTTCCTGCATTCTGCATCATTGCATGTGACTACATGAGTCTGGAAGGACTTATGTACTAATATCAGACTGATGGACTAGTATTGGACTTATGGACTTGATCTGGATCGGGCTGGGATGTTTGCTTGATATATAATTACTTCTTGATATAAAGCTCTCTCTTACACATAAATGAGTATCTTTGGATTTGTTCCTCTAGTCAACCTGACTTAACATAAATGGAGTGTGGTACAGAGTATGCTGACCGCTAAGAGTGAGGGTGGGTGGGTAATGTGGTAGTGTGAATGAGAAGGAAACCTTTGCTTCTGAAGATTGCTAATTTCTACAGCATACCCTAGCCTATTTAGATGGATAGGCACAGAAATAATTTTTTTATACTTAGGAGCCCTGGTGGTGTAGTGGTTATGAGTTGGACTGCGATCCACAAGGTCAGTTCAAAACCACCAGCAGTTCCTCGGGAGAAAGGCTGGACTTTCTATTCCCATAAACAATGTTTACAGTCTCAGAAACCCACAGAGGATTGCTATGAGTCAGCAATGACTCTCAATGGCAGAGGTTTTTTTAATAGTTAAATTTAATTGGGTTATATGCTGAATACAGTGTAGAATACTTAATATTTGAAGACCAGTTTGGTACCTGATATCCTGGCATGTTTTTCATTATCTGTTGCAGAGAACCATTTATTAAATGGGTATTTCCAGTTTAGGATCAGTCTCTATTCTTCAATGAACACAAGCTTAATTTCATTGGGTACAGACCTGTTTTATTTTATTTATTTATTTATTTATTTATTTATAATCATTTTATTATGGGCTCATACAACTATTATCACAATCCATACCTTCATCAATTATGTAAAGCACATTTGTACATTCATTGCCCTCATCATTCTCAAAACATTTGCTCTCTACCTAAGCCCCTGGCATCAGGTCCTCATTTTTTCCCCTCCCTCCCTGCTCCCCTCTCCCTCATGAACCCTTGATAATTTATAAATTATCATTTTGTTATATCTTGCCCTGTCCGATATCTGGGACAGGCCTGTTTTAAATAAGCAGAGGCCCCGGCTTGTTTATGTAACATGATTGAAGCTAGACTGTACAAATACAGGGTAGAAAAACTGGGCTTTCTACTCCCATAAACAGCTAACAGTTTTGGAAGCCCACAAGGGGTAGCTAGGAGTCAATATTGACTCCATGGAAGTAAGTTTGTTTTGCTTTATGGGACAAACATTTTGTTCTGTTAAGTGCTTCAAGAAGTCCAAGAAGTTACAATTAAAAATGAGACTCAGGTAAGTGTTGAACTGCTAACCACAAGGTTGGCAGTTCAAATCCACTAGCTGCTCTGTGGAAGAAAGATGAGGCTGTCTGCTCTTGTAAAAATTTACCACCTCAGAAACCCCACGTAGGGTCACTGTGAGTCAGAAACGACTTGATGGCAGAGGGTTTGTACTTGGGGACTGTGTTCTAGATGCTGTGCAATGTGTTATCTAGAGATGATTAAGGCATCGCCACCAAGAGGCAGCCAATTAAGCTCAAGAACCTGCTCATTTGGAATAAGAGTGTGTTTCACCTCACAAATGATAGGGAAGTATCTGGGAAAGAAGGCATTTTTTTTAATTCCCAGATTTAGATATGCAGTTTAGGTTTTAGATATTCTGAGCTAAATGGGCCCTGTTTGTGAGTGAGTAGAAGAGAACTGTGAAGCTAGCGCGTGCGGGTGTGAGAGCTGTAAAGACCTGGGATCCAGTGTGCCGATGGGAGGTGGTGTTCTGGCTATACTTGGTGCTGGCTTGTTTTAATTTATTAGTCTAGGAAAAATTTAAAAGGAATTTTCTAACGCATCAGAGAAATGTTCCTAGAATGGGTTGTCATGGTAAGAACAATAACAAGAGGGGCTTTTATTGGTAATTTCAAAGACATAAAGAACTTAGTCCTCTGTTGCATAGAAGGTATTTAAGTAAATGCCTTCTATTATGGCTACTAATTGAGACAATTAAATTAACTGAGCTAGATTTCAACTGACTGGATAACTGCATGACCGAATCTTATTCTTAGGGAGATATGGTAAAAGAAAGGGAATCACCTTTATGCGTGGATGTATCAGATAATTTTTGTAGAATTAAAAATTAAAAAGAAGCCTCAAGTACATGTACCCAAGGGAGACTTTAAAATGTCCCAGGAAAATTGAAATGAAAACATAAGGGAATGGTTTTTACAGCTTTGAATTACTTTTGTAATACTGGTTTTTTTTTGGGTTTTTTTTGGTCTGTGTGTAACTGTTGCTTTTATAATTGTTTTCATTATTATTTTGCTATTAGCACTTTGTATGCCTGAAAAATGTCAAAAACAAAACACTGGATATTACAGTTTGGTAATGTGTATGTAACAGGACCACTCTCATTAACATAATGCACTCTACAAACCTGTTGAAGTGATTTATGAGTCTCTTTATGTACAAAGAAGCTCTTTTAATCTTTAATTCCCCCACACCCTTTCTCTTTCTTGCAAGTCAGTGAGGAGGTAGCTAGCTGATAGCCTACTTAGCAATTAATTTTGCACATTTGGGGTATGTTATTACTATAAGGGAAGTACATTTGAAATGCTTTTCTGTATTTTTATAAAGTGCTTTTACTTGTATGTTTAATTTTAGGTTTCCGTTGTAATAATCAGAAGCCAAAAACTCACTGCCATCGAGTCCAATTAGACACATAGCAACCCTCAAGAGCAGGGTAGAACTGCCCCGGAGGATTTCCGAGACCAACTCTATAGGAGTAGAAAGCCTCATCTTTCTCCTGGAGTGGCCATTCGTTTTGAACTACTGACCTTGCGATTAGCAGCCCAACACTTAACCATTATACCACCAGGCCTCCTGCAGTACAGACTTGCACAAACACACGTGCATAAAATATCAATAGCGAAATCTTCGGGGTATTTCACTGATGGATAAGCTGTCCCTGACAAGCCAGCTTGTGATAGGCAGGCTCCCATGAACTCAGTGTGAGCCATGTGGTGATGGCCAAATACTGCAAGAGACAGAGGTCAGGCTGATGTAAACCTTAAGCTACATTAGGTTAGCAACTGGAATACAGAGCAGATATAAAAGTGATGTTATGTCCTCACTGACACCTTCAAATTAATATCTTTGTCTGTTATAACTTGGTCAGTAGAGAGAACATTTTGCTTTAATGTGGACACTCGGGGCAAATACTAAACTCACTCATTAAAAATATTTCCCAAAGTCAAGAATAAGTAATTTTATTAGCTGTTTGAATTTTTGGATCCCTGATGGCGTGGTGGTTGCACGTTGGACTGTTAACCTCAGGGTCAGCAGTTCGAAACCATCAGAAAAAGGAGACTTTATACTCCCTTAAACAGTTAGTCTTGGAAACTCACAGGAGCACGTCTACTCTGTCCTGTAGGGTCGCTAGGGATCAGCATCAACTTGACGGCAGTGAGTTTGGTTTGGTTTTTATACCCTAGTCTGCTTCTTTCTTATTGTGTAATTTTGAAGCAAGTCCCATTCACCAGTAATTATTTCAGTTTGCAATTCTAAAAAGGACTCAGAATAATATAACCATAATACTGTTACCACACTAAAAATTAACAGTAATTCCTTAATATTATTATCATATAGTCAAGTGCTCAAATTTCAAATAATCTAAGTATCTGTCTCTTTTTTTTTCTATCAAGAGGTACATGACATTTTTTTTTCTTTGGAAGCACAGCTATTGATGCTGATGTGCAATACTTAGAGGCCATATTTCTTTCAAGAGTAGGTTTCAGGGTCTCTTTTGACATCCATTCCATTCCAAACCAAACCTACTGCCATCATTTAACCCCAACTCATAGCAACCATAGAGGATACAGTGGAATTACTGCAGTGTTTCTTAGGCTATAAATCTTTACAAAGCCAAATTAGCCTTGAATATGTCACTCCCCAAAGTCGTACACATGTACAGTCATCTTGACAATGGCGGTGCGAGAGGACAGGGAGGGCCTCAAGGGCGATAGCGAGCACAATTACTGGTGGTGCAGGTAAGTAGAATGGTGACACAAAATGCAGTGTGGCCAGTGGCATTGACCTGGCCATGTAGAAAGTGTTGAATCAGTATATATATATTTTTATGTATTTCACCAAAAATTAAATAAATGAAGCAAGGATTTTGGCCCATTTTCATTGTCAACAATGATTTCATGGAACTCTTTTATGTTTGAGATTTTTATGTGAAGATAAATAAATTGTGTGAAGTCTAGGGGTTAGAGAGAAAGAAAACACCAGGTTCTGTAGGGTTGTGAAAAGGGGATTCTTTGTTTGAAGGAACTGGAGCTTTGAAGTTTCACAACAACCCTGTAGAATATTATCCCCAGTTTACAGAAAGAAAAGCAAGGCTTTTAGAGGATCATTTGTAAGAGTGTAACTAACAAGTGGTTGGCTCAAGGCTCTCATTTCTGATTCTTAATCTAGTAATCTTTTTGTTTCAAAATATTGGTTTTGGTTGTATTTTTTTTAAAGTTTGAGTATTAGTTACAAGACAATGATTTCGTGTAAAATGAGTTGAAAGGAAACATCCAGGGCGGAAGGTCGCTCAGAGGAAATAACTTGGTTGTCCCTGTTACGTGTGCATCAGCATTACAGAAGTGTGTTATCTTATGTGCATTTCTGTCTCTCTCCCTCCCAAGGTCTTTGAGTCCAGTGAAGAATCCGGGTATCTTGTTCTCACCATAGTCGTCTCGGGTCATCTGTTCATTTCTCAAGGACAAACACTACTGGTAGGTTTTATAACTGTTTTTAATACGCAAATATATTTCTTATTCTCTATAGGTTTACATTCGTTTTATATCCTTCAGCTTTTTCAGCCTTACTGAAAGCCTTCAAGCTCAGAAAACTAAATATTTATTGAGTGTGTTACTACAGTGGAAAATATAAAAAATGTGCAATACAAAATATATAGACTACCTTAAGGAAGTGTAATGCTTTGTTGAGAGTCTTAAGTGGATCAAGGAATTGGAATGAACCAGTATTTTAAAGGATTCTTAATTTGGAGACTAGTTTGTGGTGGGTTTTCCAGATAGGGAAAACAGCATATACAGAGGTATATAGTTAAGGAAATAGCTTAAAAAAAAGAAAGAAACCTTGAAGGATGCTTTAATATATATAGCTCTCCATAAATTGACTGCATTTATAAAAATGCATTTGTTCTTTATTGTAAGCATAATAAAATTTTTATACCACAAAAAAGTATATAAAGGAGAAAACACCATGCTTGAAAGTTTGAGTTTGAATTGATAGATAAAAGGAAACAAAGAAACAAGATAGTTATTAACCTATTAAATATTTAAGAAAGAAAATGTAATGGAAGATATGAATAATAGCTGTGAATAATATCTCCATTCAAACCCAAATCAAACTCAGTACCATCAAGTCTCAATACTGACTCATAGCACCCCCCTGTGAGTTCCTGAGACTGTTTACCGGAGTAGAAAGTGCAGTCTTTCTTCCACGGAGCTGCTGGTGTCTCGAACTGCTGATCATGTGGGTTGCCGACCAACTCATAACCACTCTACCACCAGACATAATTAATTCAATCAACGAAGGGTTACCAAAGTCTATATACTGTATACATAATTCATTTGTTTGCCAATGTTTATTGAACAATAACTGCATGGTGGGCCCTGTTCTCTAAGTGCTAGGGATAAAGCCGCACAAACCAAAGACACAGCTCCCTGTCATCATGGTGCGTCATCATTCTAGTCAGGAGAAACAAGTAGGTCAAATAAGGTAAAAGGTCCTTAAGTTTTGGTGAATTCCTTACGTGTTTTATCGTATTTTGATGGTATAGTTGAGTACATTTCTAGCTGTGGCTCTTCTAGCCATAATCTATGTAACTCCTACCAAATGGTAAAAAAAAAACAAAACCAAAAAAAAAAAAACCTCACAGGACAGGGTAGAATTGACTCTGTGGGTTTCCAAGGTTGTAAATCTTTACAGGAGTAGAAACCCTTCTCTTTCTTCCATGGAACGGCTGATGGTTTCAAATTGCTGACCTTGTGGTTAGCAACCTAATGCATAACCGCTACACCACCCGGGCTCCAGTGACCAAGTAGGACCATGCAAATAAGATATATGAAACTTTCATAAAGGGACTGGTTTTGCCATCCCACTAAGTATGTGGATACCTAATTTGTTTACCTCTTCTTTTGATGGACATTTGGGTTGTATCCAGTTTGGGACTATTATGAAGAATGCTGCTATAAAGATTCCTATGCTGGCCTTTGTGGGAATGTGTGTTTTCATTTTTCTTGGATAAATGCCTAGGAGAAATTTCTGAGTTGTGTAGTACATATGTTTAACTTATTTTTAAAAAACCAACAAAACGGTTCTCCAAAGTTGCTTTGCAGCCCGAAATGTATAATGGTTCTGGCTGATGCATAATATCACTAACAC